GTTATCTCATTAAATTATTTTGTATGTTAATATATCCTTTAATTCAAAATATCCTCTCAAAACGTTGGCTCCCATACACTCTGCTAACCCAGAACTGAAACCACTCCCGAAGCCCACTTTGCAGACAAAGATTAGACAGGCCTCTAAAACAAAAAATTAATACACATGAGGAATGTGCTTCTTAGTTCAATCAAATATTTGAGACCAAATGGGCAGCTTCTGTCAAAAAGCAGGACAAGAAGGCAGGAAGGGATGGGAATGGATGAATGGACCCAGGGAACCCAGGGTGGACAGGGGAAGCATGCTGTCACATTGTGGGGGTTGCAGCTAATGTCACAAAACAGTATGTGTATAAATTTTTGAATGAGAAATTAACTTGAGCTGTAAACTTCCACCTAAAGCAAAATTAAAAAAAAAAAAAATCACCTGGATGATAAGGTATTTTAGCATCACTTTAAGGCAATCTGTTTCATTTCTGACAGGTTTGAGCTACCTAAAATATCCTAGCAGCTTCTGGGTGGAGCTGAGGCTTAAAGAGGTAAATATTTTTACTGTCAATAGAGTCACTGTTCCAATTAATATATATTTTTTAACTTTTGTAAAATTGGTATCAAAGTACTATTGGGTGAAAGTCCTAACTAAAAATATAATTCAGATCAGTTTTACAACAGATGATAACAGTCTTTAGAGCCACCTAAAAGGAAAACCACTATATTCACCACTCCAGTGGAGAAAAGGATTTCTTCCTGGCATCCCCACTGTCCAGTTATGATCCCTTGGTCTTACAACTTGAGGTTTGATTGAACATGGCAGTCTATTTCTAAAGGCCCCCGTTTCCATTGCCCGTGATCAGAGAAGGCCGATTATGAAAGCAACCAGCATGCTCCAGTGAACAGCAGACCTTGCTGGAAAGCATCTAAGATGTACTATATAGCTCTATCATTTGGTGGAAAGTGCCTTTTTTTTTCTTCTTTTTTTAATAGTGCAAACCAGTTGCCATCGAGTCTGTTCTAAGTATAACTGTGCTCCATAGGGTTTGAGTCACTGCTTTTTTGGAAAAGGCCTTTAACAAACTAAGAATGGCATGATTATTGTCTGGGATATGTTAGAAAAATCTGGCCCAGGAGATAAAATCCTTACAGGGTGAGTTAGAAATGCAATAAGGTTAGTGATCGTTATGTCTTTTCATAGTGCCATGACCCTAAGACGCCCCAGCATGTTTGCTGCTTTTCAGAATGGGCAACTGAGAGC